CACCCCTCACACGTTCTCGTGGCCCCATAGGGAGCTCCACCGAAAGGCCCCATGGCGCCTCCGCATGCGTCCCGCACACCCATTTCGGCACACCCCTCACACGTTTCGTGGCCCCATAGGGAGCTCCACCGAAGGCCCCATGGCTGCCGTCCGCATGCGTCCCGCACACCCATTTCGGCACACCCCTCACACGTTTCGTGGCCCCACAGGGAGCTCCACCGAAGGCCCCATGGCTGCCGTCCGTATGCGTCCCGCACACCCATTTCGGCACACCCCTCACACGTTTCGTGGCCCCATAGGGAGCGCCACCGAAGAAGATATTCACAAGTGCGGTACTCTCAACTGCATATGGTTGGGTCCTTCGCCAGGCTAATTCTGTGTTTTTTCAACCTGGGCGTTTTTAGTTCACTTCGGGCCCTGGGGCTTGTTGTCGGACCCTAGGGCCATCAAACATTTACCCACGGCGAAAAGCTGCCCCAAGGAAGGGGTCCAGACCTCTGTGGCCGTGCATATGGAGCAAAACCAAATCGTCTGATATATGGGGAGGAACTGGGTCCGAAGACCAAAGGTCGAGGTTGTCGGGCGTCTTTGGGCCTCCTGGGGCGCCTTCGTGGCCCCGGCAAGACCCGCCTAGAAATTACGACGGACAGTTCTTGATCATTTTGGACTCCGGGGCCTCACTGGGAGCCTCAAAACACGACTAGGGGTGAAAAGCCAGCCCCAGGGACGGTGATCGAGACCTCTGGAGATTTACGTCGTGCAAAAATCCGCCGATCCTGTCGGCGTGTGTGAGGGGCTTGTCTGTTCGAGTCGTCGTCTCTGCCAGTCGTCGTCTCCGTCGTCTCCTTTCCCTGCGCCCTCCCCCTCAAGCTTGTCAGCGAGAGAAACAACATCTAGCAATGTCGTAACCGATTCGAAGGGAAGCTCATTCCCTTTGATCCCTCCCCGTCTGGGGGTGGTCCTGGGTGGGTAAGGGGGGGGTCCCGGGGGGAGGTCCCCGGGGGGGGCCAGATGCGCATCAACCCCTGGGGGTCCCGGGGCTTCAGAAAATACCAAAACAGGCCAGGTGTCCCAAGAGGTGCACGGGACGGTCCAAGAGGGCCCCCAATCGCCAAACGATCCGTCCAAAACGCTTTCACGCCCTCCAGAGTGGTCAGGAAGCCTCCAGGTTGCCCCAAGAAGAGGGCCCCAGGAGGTCAAATTCATTCATTGTGTTTTTCCCAACCATCCTGTGGTGTTGGGTCCTCGTTTTGAAGAGACGGTGCCCCGCGTCTCCTCTCCTTCCTTCCTTCCTCCTCCTCCGCCTCCTCCCTCCTCCCCCTCCGCGTCAGCCACACCCATTTCGGCACACCCCTCACACGTTTCGTGGCCCCATAGGGAGCCCCACCGAGGGCCCCAATGGCTGCGTCCGCATGGCGGCACCGCACTCATGTCGGCACACCCCTCACACGTTTCGTGGCCCCATAGGGAGCTCCACCGAGGGCCCCAATGGCTGCGTCCGCATGGCGGCACCGCACCCATTTCGGCACACCCCTCACACGCTTCGTGGCCCCATAGGGAGCTCCACCGAGGGCCCCGGTGGCTGCGTCTGCATGGCGGCACTGCACCCATTTCGGCACACCCCTCACACGCTTCGTGGCCCCATAGGCCATAGGGAGCTCCACCGAGGGCCCCAGTGGCTGCGTCCGCATGGCGGCACCGCACCCATTTCGGCACACCCCTCACACGTTTCGTGGCCCCATAGGGAGCTCCACCGAAGGCCCCAGTGGCTGCGTCCGCATGGCGGCACCGCACCCATTTCGGCACACCCCTCACACGGCTCGTGGCCCCATAGGGAGCTCCACCGAAGGCCCCAGTGGCTGCGTCGCATGGCGGCACCGCCCATTTCGGCACACCCCTCACACGTTTCGTGGCCCCATAGGGAGCTCCACCGAAGGCCCCACTGCTGCGTTGCATGGCGGCACCGCACCCATTTCGGCACACCCCTCACACGTTTCGTGGCACCATAGGGAGGGCTCCACCGAGGGCCCCAGTGGCTGCGTTGGCATGGCGGCACCGCACCCATTTCGGCACACCCCTCACACGTTTCGTGGCCCCATAGGGAGCTCCACCGAGGGCCCCGTGGCTGCGTTCGCATGGCGGCACCGCACCCATTTCGGCACACCCCTCACACGTTTCGTGGCCCCATAAGGAGCTCCACCGAGGGCTCCAGTGGCTGCGTTCGCATGGCGGCACCGCACCCATTTCGGCACACCCCTCACACGCTTCGTGGCCCCATGGTGAGCTCCACCGAAGGCCCCAGCGGCTGCGTTCGCATGGCGGCACCGCATCGATTTCGGCACACCTCTCACACGTTTCGTGGCCCTATAGGGAGCTCCACCGAAGGCCCCAGTGGCTGCGTTCGCATGGCGGCACCGCACCCATTTCGGCACACCCCTCACACGTTTCGTGGCCTCACAGGGAGCTCCACCGAAGGCCCCAATGGCTGCGTTCGCATGGCGGCACCGCACCCATTTCGGCACACCCCTCACACGCTTCGTGGCCCCATAGGGAGCTCCACCGAGGGCCTCAATGGCTGTGTTCGCATGGCGGCACCGCACCCATTCCGGAACACCCCTCACACGTTTCGTGACCCCATAAGGAGCCCCACCGAAGGCTCCAGTGGCTGCGTTCGCATGGCGGCACCGCGCCCATTTCGGCACACCCCTCACACGCTTCGTGGCCCCATAGGGAGCTCCACCGAGGGCCCCAATGGCTGCGTTCGCAGGCACCGCACCCATTTCGGCTCACACGTTTCGTGGCCCATAGGGAGCTGCGTGGCTGCGTTCGCATGGCGGCACCGCACCCATTTCGGCACACCCCTCACACGTTTCGTGGCCCCATAGGGAGCTCTACCGAAGGCCCCACTGGCTGCGTTCGCATGGCGGCACCGCACCCATTTCGGCACACCCCTCACACGTTTCGTGGCCCCATAGGGAGCTCCACCGAGGGCCCCCGTGGCTGCGTTCGCATGGCGGCACCGCACCCATTTCCGGCACACCCCTCACCCGGATCGTGGCCCCATAGGGAGCCCCACCGAGGGCCCCAATGGCTGCGTTCGCACGGCGGCACCGCACCCATTTCGGCACACCCCTCACACGTTTCGTGGCCCCATAAGGAGCTCCACCGAGGGCCCCAGTGGCTGCGTCCGCATGGCGGCACCGCGCCCATTTCGGCACACCCCTCACACGTTTCGTGGCCCCATAAGGGGCTCCACCGAAGGCCCCAGTGGCTGCGTTCGCATGGCGGCACCGCACCCATTTCGGCACACCTCTCACACGTTTCGTGGCCCCTTAGGGAGTTCCCTCTCATTCGCTCAACCTGCTTTGCGGTACTCGCAACTGCATATGGCTGGGTCCATCGCCAGGATCATTTTAGGGGGCGTTCTCACCTCTTCCGCTCCCCGCCGCTCCAAGACGGCGCAAGAGGCCCCCAGATCGCTCCAAGATGGCCCAAGAGGCCTCCAAGAGGGCCCCCAAACAGCCCAAGAGGACCCCAAGATAGCCCAAAGCGCCCCCAAGACGGCCCAAGAGGCCCCCAAAACGGCTCCAAGAGCGAGCCCAGACGGGGTACCCGAACGGGCACTTCGAGCCTTCGGCCCCGAGAGGCTCCCCGGAGGCCCCAAGAGGCTCCTAAGAGGTTTCAAGAGGCCCACGAAAGGTCCCCAGGAAGCCCGAGAAGGCCCCCAAGAGGCTCCCAAGAGGCCCCCGAAAGGCCCCCAAACTCCTCCTCAGAGGACCCCGAGAGCCCTCCGAAGAGACCCCAAGAAGCATCCCTGAGGACTCTGGTCCACGTCAGCGTCGCCGTCGCCGTTGTCGTCGTCTCTCTTCAGGGTCAGCGGCACCGGCCGTGAGGCCTTCGCAATCACGGCGTCGGCCGCATGACTAGGTTCCCCAGGCCTCTCGACTGCACGCAGGAGCGATCCCTGGGCAAGAGCGACCCTTGGAGCGCGGCCTGCCGATCGTTGCATGCGATGCGGCAGCGGCAGCCTGCGTGCTGGGGATTGCCCCCCCCAAGCCCCCCGAAAGCCACGCCACGCACAAAAGGTCGGCCTGCCGAAGGCCACGACCCGAATGTCACTCCCGCGGAGGGTCACTGTCACGAGCAGCCGACAACAACCTCGCGTCCTGAATCAAGAAACAGGCACGACGACAAGCTTCGTTGGCCTCGGCCAGAGGCCAAGAGGATTGGTCGGGCCCGTCACTGCAGAGGAAATGTGCGCCATCGCAGAATGTGTCCTCGGCCTCTGGAAGCCGGTTCGGGGCACTGGGAACTTCAAGAAGCAACTCAGGATGGAGGAGGGGTCGGCCCTTCTGGGGACCGCGTATTGAAAGCTCTCGTCGTCGGAGGCCTTGGCAAGGTGACCCCAGCGTTTCCAGGGACTCCCTGGAAAGCTGGGGTCACCTTGCCCGCGCCCCGACGCCTGCCTGATGCCGCATGGTCTGATTGATGTTCTGTACTCCCGACGTCGAACCCGCGCTTTTTAGCGAAGGAATCCTGTCGGTAAAAGCGGCGCGGGCAGACACCGAGCAGGAAGATAACCCAGAGGGGCCCGGAGGGGGGCAGGAAGATAGCCCTGGGGGCGAGGGGGGGGCAGGAAGATGAGGGCTGCCCAGGGGGTCGGACATGCCTTGCAAGGGGCCCATACACCAGGGAGGCCCTCGCACAGCCTCCAGAGCGCCCCCCACGAGGCCCAGAGGGCCCCCACGGGCTCTGAGATGGCGCGAAGAACCGGAGACACCCGCCGAGCGAGCGAGCCGGCTCGGTTGCTGCACCGGCGCTGTCCTCTTCCCGTGTCCCTCTGCTCACGTCATGCTCCCCTCCCCTGCTCCCCACTTGCTGGCTGGAGGACCCAGCTCGCGGACGGGCGAAGAATACCAGGAGAGCGCAGTGATCTCGTGTCGCTACTGCGCTTGCTCTCTCAGCCGTCTGCTGCTTTTCAAAAGGGGAGGCCGCTGGGGGCACCTGGAGACACGAGTACGTGCTCAAACATCCGACGATGCACGTTTGTTCGAATGCGCGGCCCAAGGAGGTCCCGGCTCCTGCATGTCCCCAGGGCATACCAAGCCGAAATCGAGGGTAAACGCTGGGATGGAGCGAGCTCTGCCCATCGGAACTCTGGGCCTGTAGGGTAACAAAAGAAAGCCTCGCAGACATGCCGGAAGCCCCCGGGGATCTCTTGGATCGGCGGTGAACCCCGCCCCCTGGCGCGCGCAGCGCGCCCGTGGCGGCGCCCCGAGGGGTCCGTCGCCGATCCGAGACACCCGTGCGAGCATCCGGGTGTGTTGCCTTCGGTGGCAGCTCGCGGGAGCCTCCCGTGCCTGCGGGACGGGGAAGTGACCACGTGCCACTGGCGGGAAGGCGGCAACAGAAGAGAAGCAGTGGCTGTGGTCGTTCTCACGTCCCGTTGCGCATCGATGCAGATCGACGCCAGTCGACGCTGACCGACGCTCAGTCGGCGCTATCTCACCGACTCCCGAACGCTGATTCCGCGCTAGCTGACGCCGATGACGGAACCGAGGGGGCAGGCCAGGCTCCCATGATTTGCTGCCGAATGTGTCTTTACTCCTCCTCCTCCTCCTCCTCCTCCTCCTCATCCTCATCCTCCTCCTCCTCCTCCTCCTCCTCCTCCTCCTCCTCCTCCTGTCCTTCCAGTCTGGCAGCCTCCGATCCTCCGAAGGACCAGGCGCCGATCCACGGACATCTCTCCTGGGGTGAGCTCTGCGCAGATTTTCGCAGCGGATCCCGCCGAAGTGGCGAGGAGACCCAGAAACCGATGTTCCCTTCCTCTCCTCCTCCTCCTCCTCCTCCTCCTCCTCCTCCTCCTCCTCCTCCTCGAGGAGACCCAGAAAATGGCGGAAGCGCCCGAAAACCTCGAGCCTCGAACCTTGGAGCTTCGATCCTCGGGTTTGGCAGCCTCCGAGCCTGGCGGGCCCTACAGCTGGATCCCCAGGAGTCACGGCCCCTCACTCGGGAGCGGCCCGTCATCCCGAGCTGCTCTTCGACAGCCCTCGGGCCCTGCAAGAGCCCCCCGAGGCAGAGAACTGCTCAAAAACGTCCTTCGCAAATCTTGTCACGACGCGAGCAGGTGGGGGCTCGGCAGCCTCCAATCTTGGCGGGCCAAGAGTTCGATCCCCGGGAGCCTCGACCCATGGAATGTTTTTTCATCTCGCGAGCCGTTTGTCAACGGCCCTGAGGCCCAGGGCCCAGCAAGGGCCCCCCGAGGCCGAAAACTGCTCGACCACATGCGTCATGATTTTGTCACGACGTCACGAGGTGGGAGTTTGTTTCAGTCGAGACTGATGCCATGATGAGATTGGCTCAGGATACGTTGCTGTAGCCCGTGCGGAACAGCAGGAAACCTAGGGAATCCTGGAAATCTTGGAACGCATCATTCTCTGGGTTTCTTGTTCCCTTGGTTGGCAGCCTCTGTAGAGGCATCTCAGATGGGGTCCGAATAGATGAGGTCGGAGGATCGGGCCGCATCGCCAATGCATCGGCGATGCTGTCGACGTTGGCGACGCATCGACAGCGTCGGAGTGGAGAAAATCGGGCTCCACATCGGGCCGCATCGCCGATGCATCGGCGATACGGCGCGATCCTTCGACCCCACCTACTTCGATCCCATCCCAGACATCCGGCGTCTCGATTTTCTCGAGACGCAGGCCGAAGGCCTCTCGACCACGTCCCCGCGACCGGTTCTCCTTCCTGAGTAATCCTGATGACGGTCCCGAGGCCCAGCAAGGGCCCCGAGAGAGCGAGAACCATGAAAAAGGTCTCTGTCTCGATCGTTTCGAGACGCTGGCTGTCTGGGATCTGGAAGGCCTGGATTGGCGGCCTCCGGTCCTGGCGGGCCCAGAACTCCTTCCAGAAGCCGGTGCTCCCGCCCGCCGGGTCGCTTCCTCGGTGCTCCCGTGACGGGCCGCGGCCGCCCTCCGTCTGGCCGCGGTCGAAGGAGGGCGGCACGGTGTGGGTGCGGCGCCATGCGCCCTGGTGGGCGACACGCAGGGAGTGATCAACCGAAAGCCGAAGCTCGAGGGTTCGATGATCCAGGTTCTCAGGCGCGTGTGGCCTCTTCTGGGCCTCCTCGTGGCTATACGGCTGGATCCGCCTCGACATCCCGGCCAAAACGCACCCCAGGCGGAGTCTGGGGGTCGACTTTGGACATCCAGAAGATCTGCGGTTGTCACGGTTTTCGGCCTCTGAGGGCCCTCAGCGGAGCGTCGAAACAATAACAGCTCGGGGCCCCGGGAAGGCGATCGAGAACCAAATGGGGGTCTAGATTGTGCAGAAGTCACGGCGTAGGCCGGGTCTGGGTTTCCCATAACTCCTCTTCTGCACGCAGGAGCGACCCCTGGCAGGAGCGACCTTTGGTGCGCGACCCTCCTAGAAGAGTCCACCTGAGGTTTTCGTAGCGGAGCCCCGGGGCACAATCATCTGATCAAGATATCTCGAGGCAGGCTCAGCCGTGGCAGTGGGAGGCTTCCAGAAGGGGCTCAAAGCAGGCGAAACTGAAGGAAATCGAGCATGAGAAAAACTGCCCGGGCATAGACTTTCGGAGGTGCGCGCGGATTTCTTGGGCCGGCGCGAGAGCCCACCGGCGGCGCCTCCAGCGCCGCCAACCCGCGCGCCAGGGAAGAGAAGGCCCCCAAGGCCGACTCACCAAATCAGCGCGCACCTCTCCGAAAGTGGAGGCCGACGCCGCTTTTTCTTCCTCGGGAGGAGTGACCTTCGGTGCGCGGCTCTGGGGTGGCATTGGGGAGCGCCCCCCCCCCCCCCCCCCCAGGCGCGCAAGCACGCTGCTGTCGCATCGCGCTGCAGCGATCTGAGGAAGAACGACGGGGGGGGGCTGGCAGGGTGCGGGGAAATCGACCTGGAATCGGCGATGGGCCCCCGATGACGAAGCTGCAGGTTCCTGGGCGGGGTGGGCTATCAGGCCCCTATCGACGATGAATGGGCGAATGGGGGCTGATTGTCCCCCCCTCCCGACACATCCTCCGATATGATTTGTTCAATGCGCGGCCCCAAAAGTCCCGACCCCTTCCACGGGGTAAACTCTTCGCGCGGATGGAATTTGTCATGGCTCCGACGCCCGAGAACAGGCCCTGGAAGCCGAAATCGAGGCAGCACACTGGGATCCCAAAAATCAGATCGTCGGAGACCTGCGCCCCCTTTGCCCCCGACAGACGCGGGCCCGCTCCCGAGGTCACTCTGGCGAAGGGCCGCCCCTGGGCGTAGCCTGCCTGCGGCGCAGAGGAGGCGCTGGGCGGCACGGGGGGCGGCTCGGGCGGGGCCGTGGACGCCGTGGGCGGCACGTAGTGGAAGCTGGAGGTCGGCCTGGCCCATGCGGGGGTCGAGATCTCCGGTGGCGTGCTGCGTCTCCATATCGCGGCGTTGTGTCCTCCGTCCCGGCTCCTGGGGCCCGTTTATCGGCCGTCGGGCCCGGGGAACCGTCAGGAATGAGCTCCAGGACGAACAGCGGCCCCCATGGAAAGGCTCGGGATTTACTCGGGGCCGCGCATCGAAACGACCACGTCGTCGGATGTCTGCGGAGTCATCCGAATATCCACTGGTTTGGAGGTATGCTCCCCCGAGGGTCTCATGGGGCGTCGGGTGTGGCACGCGCTTCTCGTCAACAAGGGGCCAATTATACTCATGTCCAGCGCACCGCGAAGTCCTTGGGGGGGCCATCTCCAAACTGGTGGGTGCGGAAGATATTCCTCAAGCAATGGGGGTCTCCACATCACCGCCCTGCCAGGCCAGGACCGTGCTGAGCCCTGGGTGTGCAGGCGCTGCTGGCCGAGGCCAGGGCGGTCTACGCACACTATACCAGGGCACAGCATGGCCCTGGCCTAGGATAGTGTTGTATGCAACCATACACTGTTATGTACAATAAGATGCGTGTGTTAAACATACTTTTATGTATGTATGTGTGTATGTATGCATGTATGCATGCATGCATGCATGTCTGATACATGCATGCATGTATGCATGTATGCATGTATGCATGTATGCATGTATGCATATATGCATGTATGTATGTATGTATGTGTATGTATGTATGTATGTAAGTATGTATGTATGTATGTATGTGTGTATGTGTGTATGTATGTGTGTATGTATGTATGTATGTATGTATGTATGTATGTATGTATGTATGTATGTATGTGCGTGTGTATGTATGTGTATGTATGTTTGTATGTATATATGTATGTATGCATGCATGCATGTATGCATGTATGTATGTATGTATGTATGTATGTATGTATGTATGTATGCATGCATGCATGCATGCATGCATGCATGCATGCATGCATGTATGTATGTATGTATGTATGTATGTATGTATGTATGTATGTATGTATGTATGTATGTATGTATGTATGTATATATGTATCTATGTATGGTATCGCTCGTGTATGGCTGTATCCAATAAACCCTTCACTCAAACCTTTGCAAACTTCCGAGGAGGATCTCTACTTCCACCAACTCTCGCCCATCTTCCGCCGACGAAGCGGCCCTCCTCGTTTCACTTCCGCCGGCGAAACGTCCTCCTCTCGTCGGCCTCCTTGCTAGAGTGAGTGGCGGTGACAATCATGTTCTGGGAAGGCTCTCTGGGAACGTGATGGTGTGGGGCCACATTGGGGTGCTCGTGGAGGCTGCTAGGTACCGCAAAAGAGGCTGCAAAGCCCGCAGGGCAGCCAGACTGAGCCATTCGGAGATGTTGTCATGGTGGTGCAACTGCGAAGTGAGAATGGTAGTGTCGAAAAAGTCTCGCGGGGGCTTCATGGGGGCCGTTGTTTGGCCTCGTGGGGCCGGTTCGGGAGCCTTCCGGGGCGTCGTGGGGGCTTCTTGTGGTCCTCTTGGAGCCCCGTGGCAGCATCTGGGAGCCTTCTTGGGGCCTCGTGAGAACATCTTTGGGTGAAAGGCTCGAAACTTCGGTTCAATCTTCTTGGGACCATCTTCAAGGCCTCGGAATCCTCAGGTGGACCCATTCCCCAAGACCGGTTTTTCATCCTGAGTTGTTTTTTCACGCTCCCGAGGCCCAGCGAGGGCCGCTAAGGGCCGCAATTGGCGAAAAACCGCCGTCTTGATTTCTTCAATGCGTTGGATCTCCTGAGGCCATCTTGGGGCCGTCTTCAGGGCCTCGGAGGCCGTCTCGGGCGTCCCTGGGGCCGTGAAGGGAGCTCTGTTGGCCCGTTCTGGGTCCTCCTGGACGCCTCTGGGCTCGTCCTTAAAGCGGTGCTGGAGGCCTCTTGGGCCGTCGTGGGTTGTCGGAGGCTTGACGAGTGGAGGAGCTCAAAAGCAGTGGAAAGCCCTAGCGAAATTAACGATTGTTGCTTCTCGGGGCAGTGGTCTTGGGCCTCGGGCGCCCTCTGGAACCTGCCCGGGGCCGTCCTGGCGCCTTCTTGAGGCCTCTGGGTAGCTTCATGAGGCGGAGAATTCGAAATTTCGGCTCATGCCGTTCCTCGTGAGGTCATTTCGGGACCGTCTTGAAAGCCTCGAGGCCCGTTTTGGGTGCCCCTGGGGGCGTCATGGGGTCCTGCTTGGCCGTCCCGGGGCCTTCTCGGGGGCCGCCGGGCCCGTCCTGAGGCGGTGTCGGAGGCCTTGTGGGCCGTCGTGGAGCGTCAGGATGTGAATAATGTGAATAACGAGAGGGCACCGAAAACATTGAGAAACCCTATCGAAAATAATGATTTTTGCTTCTCGGGGCACTCGGATGTGGCCTCGGACGCCCTCTGGAGGCTGCCCAAGGCCGTCCTGGCGCATTCTGGACTGCCTCCGGGGAGCTGCCTGAGGCGAAAGATTCGAAATCTCGCTTCATGAACCCCCTTTAGATCTTGGAGCCGTCTTGAGGGCCTGGTGGGCCGTCTTGGGCGTCCCTGGGGGCGTCATGGGGCCCTGCTAGGCCCCCCCGAGGCCTGGGCGCCGTTGGGCACGTCCTGAGGCGGTGCTGGAGGCCTCGTGGTCTATCGTGGAGTGTCAACATGTGGACAAACAAAGAGCACCGAAAACATTGAAAAACCCTAGCGACATCAATGATTTTTGCCTCTCGGGGTACTTGTCGGGGCCGTCCTGGCGCAGCCTGGAAGCCTTCGGAGTCCGTTCAGAAAACGTTTTCGGTGCTCTCGGGGTGTGCTAGACACAATCTGGTAGACCGTCGTACCAATTTGTGGGCCCTCCGTGCGACCAAGAGGCCACTTGGGGCACCACGGGCGGGCCCCTGGAGCCCCTGGCCACCCGTTTGTACCTGTGGTCCTGGGCCCGGGCCCGCTCGAGGCCTACTCCGATACGATATATATATATATATATATATATATATATATATATATGTATACACATATATATGTATATATGTACATATATATGTATATATATATGTGTATACATGTATATATATGTGTATACATGTATGTATGCATGTATGTATGTATGTATGCATGCATGTGTGAATGCATGCATGTATGCATGCATGCATGTATGTATGTATGCATGTAGGTAGGTATGTATGTATGTATGTGTGTGTATGTATGTATGTATGTATGTATGTATGTATGTATGTATGTATGTATGTGTATATATATGTATGTATACATGCATGCATGTATGCATGTATGTATGTATGTATGTATGTATGCATGTATGTATGTGTGTATGGTGTGTATGGTGTGTATGATGTGTATGGTGTGCATGCATGTGCATATGTATGTGTGTATGTGTGTATGTGTGTATGTGTGTACGTACGTATGTATGTATGCATGTATGTATTATGTATGTATGTATGCATGTATGCATGTATGTATGTGTGTATGTATGCATGTATGCATGTAAGTATGTATGTATGTGTGCATTGATGTATGTATGTATGTATGCATGCATGTATGTATGTATGTATGCATGCATGCATGCATGCATGTATGCATGTACGTATGTATGTACGTATGTGTGATGCCTCCTACCCAACGTGCGTATGCCACCCTCCCGCCCATGGCGGTACACTCCTGACCTCGACCGCGAGTGCGGGGTGTTTTGGAGACTTCCTGGCGCACTGGAGCCTCGGGAAGCCCTGATATGGATCGTACAGGACGTAGGCACGAGATCTCCCATACGCTCATGGGGGCCTACTGGAACGCGTATCGGGAGCCTTTTGTTGGAAGCATTGTGGGAGTCTCTGGGGCCTCTCCGGGCCTTCCTTTGAAATCCTTTGGGGCCTTTGTTATCCTCTGGTGGCCCCCTCGGGCCCCCTGGGTACTCTCTTAGGCCGTCTTGGAATTCTCTTGTGCTGCTTGAATCTCTCTTCAGGCCGTCTTGAAGCCCTCTTGGGGGCTTCTGGGGCCGTCGGGGGCCGATTTTGGGACCCTTTGGGGCCGACGTGGCCGCTGTAAAAACCGAAATCCCCAAACATATACAATTTTTTCCAAGGGGAAATGCTGTATGTCGGCCCTTGGGGGGCCTTCTTGGCGGCCTTTTGGACCGTCTTGAGGGAGCTCTTTGGGCCTTGGTTGGCCCGTCTGGCGGCCCATTTCGGCCGTCCTAGGTCCCTCTTGGCATGTCATGGGGAGCTGAGCCCGTCTTGAGCCCGCGTGGGACCATGTAAGGATCCTCTGGTGGCCCCCTCGGGACCCCTGGGAACTCTCTTGGGCTGTTTCGGAGCTCTCTTGTGCTGCTCGACGCCCTCTTGAGGCCGTCTTGGGGCCTTCTTGGGGGCCTCTTGGGCCGTCTGGTGTGATTTGGGGAGCCTTTGGGGCCGACGTGGCCGCTGC